ACTGGTTCCCTGCTTTTCTAGCTTCTGAACAGTACATAATGCCTTTGCAATAAGGAATAGGGCGTTTCAATGGTGCTTTTCAAGACTCAAATGCCTATAAATTATTCTAACCCTGCGTTCGATCTTAGGGCCCAGTCATTGCTTTCATGTGTAGCAGGTGGAATGCACCGCTGTGAGCAGTTCGGCATTATTCCAGGGCTGCTGTTTCTGATTCTTAGCTGTTAGTACTGCTTTTGTTATAACAAATAATGTATGTTAGGTTGTTGGTAGGTGCCATCGTGTTGGTTCTGGTTCATATCAATGCTGTGCACAACAGAACGAAACACTGCCCGGTCCTGTGCCATCTTCACAATCATTGCTATGCTTGAGCCCATCCGTACAGTCACTGTATCAATCCATCTTGTTAAGGGTCTTCCTCTCTTTCACTACCCTCTACTTTACCAAGCATGATGTCCTTCTCCAGGGACTGGTCCCTCCTGATAACATGTCCAAAGTATCCTTGCTTCCAAGGAGCATTTTGGTTGTACTTCTTCCAAGACAGATTCATTCTTCTGGCAGTCCATCCATATTATATTCAATATTCTTTGCCAACACCATAATTCAAAGACATCAGTTCTTCAGCCCTCCTTATTCATTGTCCAGCTTTTGTATGCGTAAAAGGCGATTGAAAATACCATGGCTAGGGTCAGGTGCACTTTAGTTCTCAAACTGACATCATTGCTTTTAAAAATTAAAAGAGGTCTTTTGCATCAGATTTGCCCAGTGCAGTACATGTTTTGATTTCTTGACTGCTGCTTGTATGGGCATTGATTGTGGATCCACGTAAAATGAAATCTTTTACAACTTCAATCTTTTCTTCATTTATCACGAAGTTTTTCAGGAGGATTTCTGTTTTCTTTATGTTGAGGTGTAATACATACTGCAGGCTGTAGTCGTTGATCTTCATCACTAAGTGCTTCAAGTCCTCTTCACTTTCAGCAAGCAAGATTGTGTCATCTGCATAACACAGGTTGTTAATGAGTGGTCCTCCAATCCTGATGCCCCGTTCTTCTTCATATAGTCCAGTTTCTCAGATTATTTGCTTAGCATATAGATTGAATAAGTATGGCGAAAGGATACAACTCTGATGCATACCTTTTCTGATTTTAAAACATCCAGTGTCCTTGTTCTGTTCAAATGACTGCCTCTTGGTTTATGTACACGTTTCTCATGAGTACAATTAAGTGTTCTGGAATTCCATTTTTGCAATGTTAGCCATAATTTGTTATGATCCACACAGTCAGATGCCTCTGCACAGTCAGTAAAACACAGTTAAACACTTTCTGGTATTCTCTGCTTTCAGTCAAATCCATCTGACATAAGCAAAGATATCCCTTGTTTCATGTCCTCTTCTGAATCCAGCTTGAATTTCTGGAAGTTCCCTGTTGATGTACTGTTGCAACCACTTTTGAATGATCTTCAGCAAAATTTTACTTACGTGTAATATTAACGATATTGCTCAATAATTTCTGCATTCTGTTGGATCACCTTTCTTTGGAATGGGTACAAACATGAATTTCTTGCAGGTGGTTGGCCAGGTAGCTATCTTCCAAATTTCTTGGCATGGACAAATGAGCACCTCCAGCACCACAACCATTTGTTGAAACATTTTAATTGACATTCCATCAATTCCTGGAGCCTTGTTTTTCACCAGGGCCTTCAGTGCAGCTTGAATGTCTTCCTTTAATACCTTCAGTTCTTGATCATATGCTACCTCCTGAAATGGTTGAATGTTAACCAATTCATTTTGGTACAGTGACTTTTGTTTACCCCTTCCATCTTCTTTTGATGCTTCCTGTGTCATTTAATATTTTACTCATAGAATCCTTCAACATTGCATCTCAAGGCTTGAATTTTTTCTTCGTTTCTTTCAGCTTGATAAATGCCGAGCGTATTCTTCCTTTTTGGTTTTCTAACTCCAGGTCTTTGCACATATCACTATAATACTTTGCCTTCTTGAGCCACCCTTTGAAATCTTCTGTTCATCTCTTTTACTTCATCATTTCTTCCACTCACATTACCTACTCTACATTCAGGAATAAGTTTCACAGTCTTTTCTGACATCTATTCTGATATTTTCTTTCTTTCCTGTCTTTTTAATGACCTTTTGCTTTCTTCATATATGATGTCCTTGATATCATCCCACAACTCTTCTGGTCTTTGGTCTTTGCCAAATCTATTCTTGAGGTGGTCTCTAATTTCAGGTAGAATATACTCAAGGTCATATTTTGCTCATGGACTTGTTTTAATTTTCTTCAGCTTCAGCTTGAACTTGCATATGAGCAATTGATGGTCTATTCTGCAGTCAGCCCCTGGCCTTGTTCTGACTGATAATATTGAACTCTTCCCTTGTCTCCTTCCACAGATGTAGTCGATTTGATTCCTGTGTAGTCCATCTGGCAAGGTCCTTGTGTATAGTCACTGTTTATGTTGTTAAAAAATGGTATTTGCAATGAAAAAGTCGTTAATCTTGCAAAATTCTATCATGTGACCTCTGGCATAATTTCGGTCACCAAGGCCATATTTTCCAACTACCAATCCTTCTTATTTTTTCCAAATTTCACATTCCAATCACCAATAATTATCAATGCATGTTTGATCAATTTCATACTGCAGAAGTACGTAAAAATCTTCAATTTTCTTATCTTTGACATTAGTGGTTGGTGAGTAAATTTGAGTAATAGTTGTATTAACTGGTCTTCCTTGTAGGCATATGGATATTATCCTATTATTAGCAGCATTGTACTTCAGGATAGATCTTGAAATGTTCTTATTGACGATGAATGTGACACCATTCCTCTTCAATTTGTCACTCCCAGTATACTAGACTATATGATTGTGCAATTCAAAATGGCCAATACCAGTCCATTTCAGCTCACTAATGCCTATGGTATTGATCTTTATGTGTTCCATTTCAGTTTTGATGACTTCCAATTTTCCTAGATTTATACATTGTACATTCCACTTTCCAGTTATTAATGGATGTTCACAGCTGTTTCTTCTTATTTTGAGTTATGCCACATCAGCAAATGAAGATCCTGGAAGCTTTACTCTATCCACCATTCAGGTTGACTCTACTTAGAGGAGAAAGTTCTTGCCCAGTCATATTTTGAATACCTTTAAACCTGAGGGCACTATATCAGTGAACGTTCTGCTGCTATTCATAAGATTTTCACTGGCCAGTTTTTTCAAAGGTAGACTACTTCTTCCTTGTCTGTCTTAATCTGGAAGCTCTGCTGAAACCTGTCCACCATGGTGAACCTGCTGGTATTTGAAATGCCAGTGGCATAGCCTCGAGCATCACAGCAACATGCAAGCCACTACAGTATGACAAACTGACAGATGAGTGGTGGGAAGAATACATAGTTGTGGTAATTTTCCTGAGATTCCTATTTCTTTAGTTTTATTTATCTGGCCTGTCAGTACTGCTTTTATAGTAGTGAAGAATGCATTGTAGTGGTAATTTTCTTCAGATAAAGAAAATCCCTTGGCTTTATTTATTTGGGCTGTAAGTGTTGCTTTTTCAGTAAGGAAGAATGCATTTTAGCATGTTTTGAAAAGTTCCATGAAAAATAATAAAAAGGCTAAGAAGAAGGAGACTAGAATGAAATGTATGTACAGTCATTGCCAGGTGTCTTCATGTTTTACGGCATGTTCTGCAAATTTTCCAGAAATTAAAAAAAAAAAAAAGAATTTGTCATTGACTCATATCAGCAGGAATTATATGTCCAGGGTCCGCTGGGACAAATTTGATCCCAGATAATGGATATCAAAATCTATAAATCATAAAAACAATTCTGAACTGGCCCTTTAATCGGCATGCCTTTCATTAGTGAAAACACATGGTATCAACAAAAAATTCAAAGGAAAAAATAATTGAGTCTTGAAAGGTTTAATCAAGAATGAGTTATATCCTTCAACCCACTGATGGCAATTTGATTCCGACTCATAACGACCCTATAAGACAGAGTAGAACTGCCCCATGGGGCTTCCAAGGCTGTAAATCTTTATAGATCTCGTTCAGAGTGACTGGTGAGTTTGAACCACCAACATTTTGGTTAACAGCTAGTCACTTTAACCACTACATAACCAGGGTTCCTTGATATATATTTAACTGGGTACCTATTCACTAATGCCTGTCATGTTTAGTTCAGAGTTGGAAATAATTGTTTTTTAGTATATGTTATTAACTGGATATTTGTCAACGTTAAACTCAAGAATTAAAGTGAATCTTTACCTACTGGGCTTCAGAGCTAAGTAAATTTTGATAACTGAGACATAAGAATCTAAAAGAAAGAGTGGATCAATAGCAGCAGTTAGTTAATATTGTGGAAATGTCCTATGGGGAGGAAAAGTGTGGGAAATTACATGATAGCCTGTAAGTATGGATTGTACTCTGGGCAAAGAGTTCACCATCATCATGCAATTGCAAACCGAACAACTTTTGATTATGTATGGTTTTATCCAATTTAGACCTACTGAATTTGGTAGATGAGATTTCTGATGAATTAAGAAGCAATCAAAGCCTTATTTTGGATTCTGTGCCATCTAGGTCAAAAAGTTCCAGAAGTACTGGGCATATTTACTTGGTATGGAAAAGACATAGATTTTCTTATCACTCTTCCTGGTTAATTCTTTAACAAGTATTTATGGAATATGGTTTGTTCCATAGGGAGTATCACTTGGTGAATGGTAGATAATGATATGAAAGCCTCAGAAAACTGTTTTCTGCCCTTGAGGAGTTTTATTTCACTTTTTGTTAATTTTCTTCAATTACTCTGAATGATAATTTTCAAAAATCAAAGGATTAAAACAAATTTTGTTTGGGTCCAAGAGGGCTGACAAAATGTTTTTAATCAATGGGGAAAGGAATGGTGAGGCGAAGATGTGTTTGACTTTGCACTCAGTTATCACCTATCTCAGAGGTACAATGACACTGTGGTTTTATTTGGAACTTTCAGGAAGGGATCCAGATCAACTTTTTGCAGGAAATGCAAAGGACTTGTCAGAAGAAGCCCATGTCTGCCTACCCTGCAGAGAGGGCTGCCCCTACTGTGCTGATGACAGCCCGTGCTTTGTCCAGGAGGATAAGTATTTGCGACTTGCTATCATCTCCTTCCAAGCCCTGTGTATGCTGCTGGACTTCTTTAGCATGCTAGTGGTCTACCACTTTCGCAAAGCAAAGGTAAACCCAGGTACCCTGTTATGATCTACTTTTTTATTATAGAGTAACCTCTTTTTTTCTTTCTTTCTTTTTAACAACTAGAGTTTTTCCAAATCTCAGTTGCTTCTCCACTAAGCAAAAATCTTTCTATAATGTTTGCACTAGATAATTAACCGGTTGATCACCCAATTAATATAAGCTGAAGTTATATTCTTTAGCTTCCCAGGATAAATAGGGATTAATAATAAGAAAACTATTATACCATTTTCTTCTACAGAATGTTTCCCCCTATTTAGCCTGAATTTGAGTGCCTCATTGCCTTAAAGGACTCTCCTTTACATCATCTCTTTGGTCTCTAGAGGAACTTATTCTGCCATCATCCAATATGTTGTTAATTTTTTAATATCTGGAAAGCTTTGTGATGTCATTATATTTCATTTTTATTTCTCTTAGCCATATTTGATTATGGTATTGACTGGTTTTGAGTAAATTATACTTTAAGAATGAATTTATTCTGACCTTGTATTTGGTCTTGCATTAATACCCCAGAATAATGATGATCCTGAGAAGGGTTTATATGGCTCTTGAAAAAGCCTATCCTTTAGTTGTGTTCTGAGAAATCAAAGAGTATTATTAGGATTTGTGGCTTTTTAGTCAAGGCTGGACAAAATGCTAAAATGTTCAGGGCAAAGATTTCTGGGGAGCTTTCTCTAATTGTGAGCCGTGGTGGTGCAGTGGTTAAGAGCTCAGCTGCTAACCAAAAGGTCAGCAGTTTGAATCCACCAGCCTCTCCTTGGAAATCCTGTGGGGCAGTTCTACTCTGTCCTATAGGGTCACTATGAGTTGGAATTGACCAACAGCAACAAGTTTGGTTTGTTTTTTTTCTTGATTCTCTAGTTGATCACCTGATTAATTATCTTTAGTAGAATTTGTGCTTCTGCTGCCTTTAGAAACTTATTTGTGCCATATGAAAGAAAAACAAAACATACATTTTTCTACCTTTTCTGATTTCAAATGACCCCTTCCTGTTGGTAAAGTGGTACAGAGTGGTTCAGACTACAAAACTCATTGAAAGCATGAAGTGTTCCCGTTAAAAATTAAAAAAAAGAAAACAACTCTTTGTGAATGGCATATATTACAAAGTTTCAAGTTAACATAAGATAACTCAGTTGAGATTCTATGAGAATGTATCCATTATGTTAATGTTATGGATTTTAGTAGTTATCTTAGACAGTTTAATTAACAGAAGCATACAACACAAATCAAAATTTAGCTATAAATCAGCAAGACAGCGCAAATAGGCAAATTGCTTTTCATTTAACCAATATTTGTCTTTCTTTTGCAACAAAATATGTGTTAAACTGTGTATAGAATAAAGTAATAGGCAAGTAAAGTTGGGAAATATTTAACCACTGTTACTTAAATGAATTTTTTTTTTAAAGCCTGTTAACTGACAGAGCAAGTAGAATTGAAGTCTATTTAATAAACTGCTTTAAAGTCTCTTTGATATAATATGTTTCCACAGTGAATAACACATAGTTCTTTATGAATTTTAATTGATTTTAATCATTTATGATTTGCTGTGCCAAATGGAGTCAGTGGTGTATGGTGGGTAGAATATTACATCGAATATTAAGAAACCTGAGACAGTTCCGACTAGACCAATGTCTTAATCTGTTAATGTTACTTAACATTGCTGGAGTTTTTAACCTTTTTATTTTCCTAGACCTTCATGTGAAATGATGGGTTAATTTCTGCCTGAATCCTACTTTATAGGGCTATCGTGAGAATAGATATCCTTACATGTAATTTTGATGAAATTTCCTTAGATACAAACTAGTTGGAATAAATAAGCCACTATCTTGTTTTAAAATGATCATCTTTTGAAGAATCAGTTAGTTTTCACTGAATGCGACAAAGTAATATAAGGAGGATACTTTTAGAAAAAAATGTACTAATAATGTCAGTGAACATAGATGCAGTATATTGAGGAAAAGAAACCTTTGGTGCAGTTTTCTCCTCTGATTTCAGTTATCAAAAGCAATGGATCAATTGTAAAGCAACAAAAAGTTTTCAGTACAGGTATTGCAGATTTATAGCATGTGGAATTTGACTTTGCCGTTTACAGTTTTCATGTGTCTTTGTAACGTTTCTTTAGATGAAGCAGAAACTTGATGATCCCTTTTGGAGATCATTTTCCTTAGGAATTTCCCATTACATTTTATACACGCTGATAATTAAAAGAACACAAACCACATAATCTATGAATTCACATCTATTTTGACAAAAGACAAAAAATTCCAGTAGCAGTATGGAGGTAGTATAACATTGTGGGTGAGTTGTGCGTATTCTGGAGCTAGCTGGCCTAGGTTTGAATCCTGTCTTGGCCCCTTGTGTACTGGGACACTTTGTGAAAATTGTTTAGCCTCTCTTTGTCTATTTTTCTCTTCTATAAAATGGGGTTAACACACCATATACAAAAAAGTAACTCAGACTGGATCATAGACCTAAGAGCTAAAACTATAAAAACTTTTAGAACAAAACATAAATCTTCATGACTTTGGACTAGGCAGTGGTTTCTTAGATATGACATGAAAAGCATAAATAACAAAAGAAAAAATACGTAATTTGGACTTCGTTAAAATTAAAAACTTTTTAGTGTACTTCAAAGGACACCTTCAAGGAGATAGTCCACCCACAGAATGGCAGAAAATACTTGCAAATTATATATCTGATTAGAGACTAGTATCTAGAATGTATAATGAACTCTTACAACTCAACAATAAAGAGAAAACCTAATTAGAAAATGGGCAAAGGATCTGAATAGACATTTCTCCAAAAAAGATATACAATTTGCCAATAAGCACATGTAAAGATTCTCCATATCATTAGTCATTAAGAAATGCAGATAAAGCCCATGATCAGATACCACTTCACACACATTAGCATGGCTAAAATAAAAAAGACAGACAATAGCAAGTGTTGGTGAAGATGTGGAGAAATTGAAACTGTCATTCACTGCTGTTGGTAATATAAAATGGTATAGCCACTTTGGGAAACAGTTTGGCAGTTCCTCAAAAAGTTAAACGTAGAGTTACCATATTACACAGCAATTCCAATCCTTGGGTATACACCCAAGAGAATTGAAAATATATATCCAAAGAAAAATATACACATGTATGTTTATAGCATCATTATGCATAATAGCCAAAAAGTGAAAACAGAACAAAAAAAAAAAACACCCAAATGTCTATCATCTAATGAATGGATAAATAAAATGTGGTATGTTGACACAATGGAATATTATTCATTAATGAAAAAGAATGAAATACTGATACATGCTACAACATGGATAAACCTTGAAGACATGGTAAGTGAAAGAAGCCAATCACAAAAGACCAAATATTGTATGATTCCATTTATATGGAAGGTACAGAATGGGCAAATTCATAGAGACAAAAAGTAGATTCATGGTTTTCAGGGGCTAGAGAGGAGGTAGGGATGGAGAGTGATTGCTAATGGGTATGGGGTTTCTTTTTGGGGTGATGAAAATGTTCTAAATTAAATGATGGTGATGGTTATGCAATGCTGTGAATATACTAAAAACCACTGATTTGTACACTTCAAAGGGAATATTAAGGTCTGTGAACTATCTCTCAATAAAGCTCTTATAAATTTTTTTGATGTGGGTTAAATATTAGCTGGGAGTTCCTGGGTGTTGCAAATGGTTAAGCACTCGACTGCTAACTGAAAGGTTGGTGGCTTAAATCCAACCAAAAGAGCCTCATAAGAAACACCTGGCAATCTGTTTTTGAAAAAGTCACAACTTTGAAAACCCTGTGGAACGCAGTTCTACTCTACAATACATGGGGCTGTTTTGAAAAGAAAATGATGTAACTCATGTAAAGTACCTGGTACATAGTCTTCACTAATTTACATTAATTTTTTGTTATTTTATTTTGGACTTATTTGTAAAATTAATAATCTATGTATACTACCTACGTTAGGGACCAAGCATGACATTTAAAACAGTTCAGAAGAATAAGGGCTCGGAAACTATAGCTGTACCTGTTTGAAGCAGATGATAGTTGTTTTTGTTAGGTGCCGTCAAGTCGAATGCAACTTATACAGCAGAACAAAACACTGCCCTGTCCTGTGCCATCCTCACAATCGTTGTTATGCATGAACCTATTATTGAAGCCACTGTGTCAATCCATCTCGTTGAGGGTCTTCCTCTTTTCCGCTGACCCTCTACTTGGACATCATACCAAGCATGATGCCCTTCTCTAGGAAACTGACCCCTCCTGAAAACATGTCCAAAGTAGGTTAGGTGTAGTTTCATCATCCTTGCTTCTAAGCATTCTGGCTATACTCCTTCCAAGACAGATTTGTTTTTTCTTCTGGCAGTCCATGGTATATTCAGTATTCTTCACCCATACTATAATTCAAAGGCGTCAATTCTTCTTTGTTCTTCCTTATTCGTTGTCCAGCTTTCACATGCGTATGAGGCAATTGAAAACACCATGGCTTGGGTCAGGCTCAACTTAAACAATTGGATTCTAGCAATAAATTCATTTAAATTGTCTTTACAATTGGGAACAATAATCCTGTGCTAATCCTAACAGGTTGTTCAGATGCCTGAAATGAACAAAATGCCTATGATACAGATTTTTATTTTGGCCATACATTCATTATAGAAGGAACGGTAGGAAAGTTATATCAGAGGCAGAACAGCTTCACTTAATTGGTCTCACTTTTTTTTCTTTTAAATCTTTTAAACACACAAGCTCCAAACGTGTTCATTCACGTATATACATACAGTCACACAAAGATTTCTATTCAGATAATCATCTTCAAAATACATTTACAATGCATTTATTTATATGTGACCTTTTGTCTTTTTCAAAAGTGATTAAATATGCAATTGAACATCAGTTTATTTACATATTTATTTATATAATTGGGGTTTTTAGGAAGGTTTAGGTCTCCTCCCCTCCAAAAATGAGAGAGTTTATGAAAAT